AAAATTTGAAGAATGAAAATAATTCTACAGATTAGATAAACAGATAAAACTCACATTAATTAATAAATTTGACTTAAGATGTACAAGAAATACAAGTTGCACTACTGTTTAAATCTAAGGTTACATGAAGGTATAACATTCAACATTACAGGGAGACTAAACGCAATCAGTTCCATTAAAAGGAGCATCTCAACTTTAGCCAAATGCAAATGAAAACCATCTAGTGCCTAATTTGTAAGTGTTGTGTTCCTACTATAACGGACTGTTAATAAGGATCCTGTTGCTCCACTCTGCTAACTGTGTAACACCACTTTGCAAGGCCTTAAAAAAATCACATTACAGCTTTTTAATGGAGGTTGACTACTAATAAATACTTTATTACATTTCTAAAACATATTTAATTAGTATCTTTATCTATTTATAAGCTCTTTGGTCACCAATACTGTTAATTATTCCATCTCTTTTTGATATCTAAGAAATTTTGCAAATTGCATAATGTTTAAGTGTAGTTTGTGTAGAATAGCATGGAATCGTTGGCATTGGTACAAAATGATCGTACATTTCAGACACCAACTGAAAAAGACTTCAGGGTGCAATTTATCCTATGACTCACAATCACAAGGTCTGGCCTACAGGAAATGTTTACTCTTTGCCAACTGCTCGGGATGTGTCTTTTTCATCACTGTGCTGCATTTGTGATCCAAGAGAACTGATACCCATTGAAAGCAAAAGATCAAGATTTGCACAGTTCGTGGAATCTGTGAAATACAACAGTCTACCGTTGTATTTCACATTCAGTAGGCACTAAAAGTAGGCACTATTTTCAAAATAAAATATTTTTAAACACCTCCCAGAGACAGCAAACCTATTACGCTTGCTACACATGAGAGAGTTGTGATACATCTTTGTCTGATGTCAAGAACATTGAAACCATTTCCTACCTTCTCTGTTAACGTGTTCACCAAGCCCTATATCCATTACTTAATCATTTACAGGTCAACTTCAACAACTGCTAAGCTTCTTCAAAACCACACAGTTAAGACTGGCCTGAAGACCACCTTCTGTTTCTCTTCTGTTTTAAAATTTTTTCTTATACTTTATCTGACTAAGAAAATCCAATAAGAAAAAACAAGAAAACTCCAATAAAAGAAACAAATGTGATTGAAGGTTTTAAAAACCAGCCTTCAGCAACCCATTTACAAGATTGGAATTAAAAAATTTGAAGGACGCAAATAGAAAAGCTTTATGACATTCATAAAATTGAATCTGGAACTAAAGATTAGACTCGGTCTGAATGCGGCTTGGCTTTCCTAAGCATGATACAGAAATAGCATTAAAAAATAACTCCAACTGCATCCGTTCAAGGAGGAAAGTTGTATGAACAGGAGATTCTGTAATTTCCTACACCTGTGAAGAAAATCTTACTTCCGCTTGGTAAAACCATTAGCAACATGCTGGAAGAATGGAAATCTACCCCAAGGAAAATAGAAATCCCAAAAATTCTATCAGCCAAACTATAATTAAATTGATTCTAGTACAACAGTACCTTATGTTAAACATATTACTTGGTAAATATTTCCCTTACTGGCCCTGTGGTGGGAGCTGTTCATACAGTAACTACTAGAAAAGGAGAATGTAGGAAAGTTGCATAACTTACTGTTCCCCTCTAGTATCTAGGAAATCTTATTCATAGCCTTACTATATGAGATCTTTAAGTGAATTAAAAATACCCATATCCTTCAAAAACACTACAGTATGGAACAGGAAACTTGAAAACTTCACTAAAATCTAAAATGTAGTTTTATTTTTTATATACTGGGTTTGTTTGATCATACCTCACTAATGGAGTCTAATATTCAAAAACATTCTGCAGTCATAAAAAATAACTTCATTTTATGTGAGCAAAAGTCACGGCTCTTCTTTAACAGCTAACTTATCACCCTCATTTTGTTCCATTTAGCACGATTAACAGAATGATTACAAATATGCAGTTGTTATATAGGTGATAGTGAACTTAAGCTAAGGAGAAGTATGTTAACTGATTTTGCAAAGAACTAATTAAAAACAAAGTATATAATGGGTCAGTCCCTAAAACTGCCAGTTTGTTTAAATTAAAACAAAAATGAGTGCCAGGGGAGTCTTGACAGAACCATTTTAAACATCTACAGTAGATGATTAATCATTTCTCACCATCTAAGCAGGTGTTTACACATCAACCCCACATTAGATGTAACTTACACATTTCCTGAAGTGACTACTTTCAACTGATTCCCCCTGTACCAAGTATTATAGCAAAGCCACGCCAAAGCAGAACAGGAAAAGCTTTCTTAGTTTAAAATAAAATTAACAGAATTTTTAAGCATGGTTCTGAAAAAAATAATTCTTGCTGGTGGGATATGTACATTCAGCTGCTAAGAAATGTTCACATAAATATAACTTAGTTTACAAAACAAACCTGCATCTCAAAAAGCAGTTTGATTGGGGATATGCATTAATGATGCTTTTAAGTTAAATTTCTACATTAAATTACAACGGATTTACAGATTACACAGGCTTAATCATATAGTGATAATTCGTCTTTTAACAGTTTTTACGTTACTGTCTTATCTGTTGCATTGCTAGCAAGGCTTTTGCATTTCCATAGTATGATTTTGTTAAATAACACAGGCACAGGATATCACTAAATGGCCAGTCGTCAGCATATTGTGAGCATATTGGGTGGGTTGAATTTTGAAGCAGGCAGTTGGCTGTTGCTATGAGACAGAGCAAACACACGTTATTGTGTGACCTGAGCTGTAAGTATAAGTAGTGTATTGAAAAAAGTAGAGGTTCCTTTCATGCAGAATAAAATGTTTTTTTCTCTTTTCTTTTTACCTTTCAGTTGAAATTAACCTCTACATGCTCCTTTCTAGCTCTCACACTGACACTTATGTCTTCTTATGTTGAGTATGTGTATTAAAGTTATCAGGCATATAATTAGGTCAAATCATTTGGTTTAACATACTGTACATCTGTTAGTGCTATGTGTAAATATCTAAAGAACCTCTGACATTTTAGATAGATATCTTTGAACTCTAGAACTCTAGACTCAGCGTTGTGTTTTTTTCATCAACATCTTATCATGGTAAGAACCGTTTACAGAATGCCATGTTCTCACGCCTAAACCAGTAGTCAAGTTTTATTTGATGACTTATTTAAGCATCGCTCAGAAATTGTTTCAATTTTAGGTAGTGTCATCACCCTGGCTGTCCCTCTTTTTGAAGACAAACAAGTATCAAGGAAGCAAGAATTTATGTCTGTGTCAAATCACACTATCTTTATGACCACACATTTATGTGTGGTCTGAGAGTCTAGCCGATGCTCAGAGACCATGTGCCTTTGGCAAGAACTGGTGATTTAACATTAAGCTCTTTTTAATTCATGCAATTCAGAACTTACCAAAGAAACAATCATAGGATAACCTATAGGTTATATCGTGAATATCTTATAATAAGGATGTATAATATTTAAGCATCTATGTGCATTTGTCAGTGCACTAAATTCACTAGGCTCCTCTATTCGTACTAGCTGAATTGATAGTTTCAGTAGTTGTAGTAGTAGTGTATAGCAAGTTCTCAATGCAACACTATGAGCCGTTAATACACAGAGAAATCTCATATGTAACATACTGAGTGTTAAGCCAATGTATCTTTTGGATTGTAAATTACTATCTAAAAAAATAGTCATATATCACTACACACCAGACTCGCTGAAATTGGTTTAGCAGAACTCAACCAACTTAACCAAACCAACTTAAGGACATACAGTAACTGAATTCAAACATTTGGGCATGTAAGTACTGAACTTTCAGGTGTCTTGTGTGCTGCTGGTTTTTTTCCTGTTCAGCTTAACGTAGCATCCTTCCTGAAAGGCTCTGACTTCTTTTGAAAGAAGACACTGAAACTAACATATGTGGTTTTCAATATACAGACACAATTCTTGCCTCCCACTCAGCAAAAAAGAAGATGATAAAGCTTCATCTTCACAAAAACTTAAGCTTCCAAATACAGTCAATTCCAAAACAGCAGGAATAAAAAAAAAATCAAACCTCCTACAGCTTATACAAAACCCTACTCAAGAGTGTTTTTCCTACTTGAAACATCATGATTAAATTAAAAATTGAAGCAACCAAGTTCTGAGAATTGTTTCACTATTTTTCCTTTCTCTTACTAGTTTAGATTAATTGGAATGTGGATTTCATTGTAATTTATATGAAAATTATTAAATATAACAATCTAATGCAAACTTTGTTCTGTTATTTTCCATTTAATCAATATGTAAGGATTGTCTAGCCTTAGTACAGCACATAGCATATTGACAGCGGAATTAATAATAAATCTATCAGACTACAGAGTGACCAAGCGTGTTAGGGATATTTGTGGTCGCAACAATGTTGTGCATTCCATAAAATTATTTAGTATTGTACACATAATAAGGAAATTCCATATTGATTCTTGACAATGCATATTTGCGTCAACTTATATCTAATTATTTGCCTAAATAGCTACTAGTGCCAACAAGATGTATTCAATAATAAAACTGGAAAGGTGAACTCTTTTGAAAGCCTTTTACTTTTCAACAACTTTTTTATGAACAACGCTTGTTTTTCTTTAATCTGGTGCTGCCGTTCCCTTCCTGCATCTTACATCTATAAACCACAAGTTAGCTTTTTTCATGCTTTCATTTGCCTCAGCTGCCAGTTTTCTTTCTTTCATTTCTCTGAATTCACTTCCTAAGGTGGTTTCTTTATTTTGCTCCCTGTATTAGTGTCTTAAGAAGACAGCAATTTAGAAATATTTCTAAAATATTTATCAGTATTACAAAATCGGATTTCGTGCCGTACGAGAGACTGTTGCTTTGAATGTTGAACCCTCCCTGTTTGTCTTTGGGAGCCCACCAAACCTCTGCTTTAATTCCTGGTTAAAACAGGCATCTGCAATATGTGTCTGTAATATGTGTACCCGTGGCTGTCTGTTTCTTCTCATCTGAGTGAACTGGGACAGCAACATCTGTTGATCCAGCAGGTCCATTCTCTGTTGTCGCTGGATGTCCACTGTGGCTCCCCTTCCAACCATGGACTCATGGGAAGGTTCTGGCGTCTTGAACAAGGGCTCCAGGACACGTGAACTGCAACGGGCTATCCAACGTGGGACAAAGATGATATGCTGCATCTTGAAGATGTTACAGCAATACAGCGTGCCGGAGACCTGGAAAAAAGGAAAGCACAACAAAGGCCATGACTGGACAGCATTATTTTTGAGGTGCACACTAAACACATCTATCCATCCATCTGTTATCAGAAGCGTCTTTTTCCAGGTGAGGGTCAAGGCAACCCAGAGCCTGTCATGAAAGTACAGGCTTTAAGGCAGGACTTCACCTAGAGGAACATGAGAAGGGCTACAAATGAAAGGCCATTCTGCCCATCTAGCTTGTTTGGTAGTGAGCTATTAGGTAATCAATTTGATGATCTCATCCAGCTGGTATTGGCTTTAACAGCATAGCTTGGGAGCTTTTCATACTCCTACAACCCCTTTAGGTTAACATAAGCCTCCTGTTTTAAATGTACTTCCACTAGGTTATATGTTTTACAGTAACTTCCACCTGGTATGGGATGCCAATTTATTGAAAAGCACACACACAAACTGAAAACATTTATATCACCTAACCCAGTCGACATGTACTTTGGAAGGTAGTATTTCACCACGTGAAAACCGAGACACAAGGAGAACATGTAAACTCCACATAGATGCAACTGAAGTCCAGAATAGTCCCCAGTGCTAAGCACTCTCTCACAGTGCTGTGCCCTAAACTCATAAACCGCACATTTCCTAGTGTGTTATATTATTACATTACTGAATATGTTTCTGCCAAGAAATATTTTCCTTTAAATTTAAATTTGTATCCTGTTTACAGGCAACCCAGGTTTGTTTTATCTGATAAGAGATGAACTGCAGGTTTTCACACAAAATATGTCTGTTTACAAGCAATTGCAATTGCAATTGCAATTGCAACACATAGGAAAAGGCCAAGACGGGCTTAGTTGCTTTATTTGATAAAACCATGGAATCTACAGTACTGAGACCAAAGAGTTAGATAGGTCTGCTGAGGAACAATCAAAGGAAGACATTAAAACAGCACAACAAGGCAAGCGATAAATGAGCTATAAATAGTGCGGTGTCACAATTAAATGTAATGAACTTCTGCCCAGAAACCAAAACCAACTTCAAAAGACACTGCCAAACAAACTTGTTGAATCCTAAGACTTCTGACTGAGTGAAAAAATAAAATAATAAAATAATATGCACTTCACAAATCTTGAAGCCAAAGGATAATTTCTGAAGCCAATGTCAAGATGGATATTCATGACGATATTCATCTCCTAGTCCTTATTGAGGCCCAACTGAAGATATATCTAACCTCATTTGACAAATAGCACACAAACAAAATCTTCTTTGTCATTATTTATTTGAAAATAACATCAGCCAGCATTCTATATCTTTGTGTGAAAAAGTAAGTGCTCTATTCCTCTATCACCTCTATTAATAGGTTGTCTAGAATTAGGGGCAGCAAAATATTGCAAATGATTATTGATTTACAACTACATATATATTCAGAAACTTTAAGCACTCAGGTCAACACATCACGTGAAAATAAAAAGAAATATTTGAAATATATATGCAGTATATACAAATGGATCTAAACATAACAAATGTGCATTCATTAACTGGATCACTGCTCCAATGTAAAAGGATTGTATCATAATGCAACAGAAGTATTTAAATGAATTATTCTTCAAAAGATATCGCAGTGTATGGCCTAGCTCAACCAGACTCTGTAACAGCTTCTTCCCCCAGACTGTCAGGCTCCTCAACACCCTGGAATCTACTTGCACCCACCCCAATTCCAGAAACAGGGTTTAAATCCCCCCTGTGTGTTGCCAAATTGTATTATGTATTGCCTTGTAATTTGCACTATCTGCACTTTCCACTATGTGTATCCTGCCTACAATGTCTATGTCAGTGTCCTTTCTGTATTTGTATTTGTACCGTGGATCAGGAGGAGAGATATTTCGTTCCACTGTATACTTGCTGGAATGAAAAATAAACGTGAACTTGAACTTAGTGACTGGGATCATGTACGACGGCGCTGTAGAGTCACTGGATGTGCCATGGGAAGGCTGAATGACTCCTGGGATATAGTCTTGCTCTAATAACACAATTTCACAACTTCCTCATTCAGAAACAGGCAGAAGAGACGACAGCTGGAGATGGGCCACACCATAGGCCATCCTAATTCAGCGGCTGTATTCACCTGAGCTCGGTAAAACCAAAGATGCGAGGAAACCAGACAAATTGAACCGATCAATGATTTTCCGTCTATTAAAGCTTTTAACTTTAATAGAACATTGTATTCAAAATGTGTTAGGAAGAAAAATGAGTAAAAAGATGTTGATAAATAACTGACTTGAAACCAATTATAAATGGTAAAATCCAAAAAGCAAAAAGAATATACTTTTGACCTAAAATAGGAAAACATTGTGGGACATTTAAGTTTAGAAACTTGTGAAAGTGGGCCTGGTTTCTAAGGGTAGGAAGAACTAATTAAAAAAAAAAAGATTATTTTTTACGTCAATTTCAATGCCATATTCCCTTTAGAATTTCCAACACAAACAGGGAGGTCTATGACCCCAAGTGATTCTTCCAGGAAAGAAACTTCCATAGGATTTACTGAAGAAAGATGCGACTACATCTTTTATTGGTAAATATGTTTTCTAGTGAGTGTCACAGCAACTCATTCTGTGTAAATAGTTTTGGTGTCCATTTTGTCTGTGAATCTGTCAGTCTGTCAGGCATAAAAAGAAAAGATTGTGTCAAACATATAAAATACTTTTGCACAAGATAAAAAGAAAGATAATTCAAATTTGTTAAAATGCAGTAGTACTTGCTGACAGATTTACACTTCTGTAACCACAGACACAAGAAGGATAAAAGCCAAATGACAAAAAGATATTTCAGTAGAGCTGTGCCCAATTGCTTTTTTAAGGTGTGTATTACAATTATGAATCTACCTGTTCCTGCCATATTATCAAACTTTCTAAATACTTAGTGCATAAAGTAAAATGATGATTTAAGAGCCTGCAGGACATACAGCAGGCATTGCTTTGAGGCGTACTGCTCTGATATTCTCCCTTTTATGAGACCAAAAGATTTTGAGCTGTTGCCATATCTGTGAAATAACAGATAGAAATGAAAACACGATGTGTTAAAGTGATAATCATCAACAGTGATGCACTTTATATATTTTTTCACAATATTGGATGGAAAAGCAAAACTTGTGTAGATATTGAACCAAACTATATGGACATCAACAGGAAATGATACAGCATACTCTATATAAGGTAACAAGTTAAACTTTCCTGGAACACTAATCAAAATCTTAACATCACCGATCAACTCCTTCCTAAAATGTCAACAACAAAAAAGAGAGAGAAATCAGAAAAGGCTGGCGGTGATTGTCAGAACACAGAATACAAATATAAAAACTGATTTCCAAACCAAGCTCCAATCAATTTGTGGAACATGTTTTAAATCACGCAAGTATGAAATTGGTAGGAATTAAAATATTTCAGTTAAAATGCTAAGAAGTCATTTTCATTATTTTAAAGACTTCACACAGTCTTGTTGATTGTTTTTAACTATTTGTTCTTAGGTACATGCATCCAAATAACAACAAATAAAAGAACATTCAAGTGCAATGTACACATTTACAATCACACATAGTCTGCATATAAGGTCCAGTGTATAATTATAAATATATTTTTATGTTGTGTAGTGTCATTAGCTTTCATGTGTTTTCCCTCTGATTAAGAAACCTATTTAAGATCATTTGGCTGATGCAACTGGTTTCCCAATCTTTCAAAATCCCCATTCATTTTTTCCTATAATTACACAGGTGAATATTTTAGGAAAAAGCCATGAGAAAGACAATAACCAGCATGAGCTGTGCAAAAGGAAATGCTTTGTTATTCAACTTTTCTGTGGCTAAAGGAACTGAAACTTTTGGTGCCAAGAGTTTTTCTAACAGCTGCCACTGAAAGAAATGAATAAGCAATAAAAAAAACATACAGTATAAACAGACTCATATTATTCTACTAACTTACAGGAGCAATTTAATCAAAATATATAAAAAAACAAAGTCATATGTTAAAAGGTTCCATGTGTGCACAATTTCCTATACTTTCGCTTAAATATATCTTAACTATTATAGTAAATAGTAGCGATACTGTGGAAAAGGTACATGCTGTTTTAACTTCTTTTTTTAGAGGAAACAGAGGGTGTCATGAATGCTGAAATGTACTACAGGACAATGTGCACTGTCTGTGACTCATAAGTTGGAACAAAATGCCAAGTTCTATCTGATCTCATGAGGTGTATTGGGACTGTGCAGGATGTCACACTGCAATGAATGTGACAGTGTTTCAATAAATAAGGTAAAAAGAGCTCACAAGATAATATACTTTACAGTAAACAGCAACAGGCAAAAACAACACTATGACACAACACTTTTCCTGATAGTGTCCAAGCCTAATTAGGCCCATGGTGGAACCAACCCCATGGATCCATCATACTAGAAATCTGTTCCAAGCACCTGGAGCCACAGTTAGCCATCAGCTGCAAACCATGTGCTGGATTTTTCAAAAGTGGAATCCAGAAATGTAAGGTGACCAGGTGGCCACTGAACGCTGAGAGGCCGCCACCTGTAAAACCTGTAGTTCATGACATTTTCAACATCACGTCAACAGTAATAGCAATATTGCTTTAGACTGTTGGTTCAATGTTGTTATAATATTGTGCCGTCAACAATAATAGCAACAGAGTCAAATTATTTTACTAACTTACTGGTACAATTTCATCAAAATATTTAAAAAAAACAAAGTCATATTTTAAAGGCTGCAAGTGTGTACAATCACCTATACTTATGCTTTAGTATATATTTACTTAACTAATGTAGTAAGTAGTCGCATAACTATTTCAACGGTTTCAAATTAGTAAGTAAATTATTTCAAAGTTGGACTACAAGCACTTCAGTCAAGAGTTTTAGACAGTTTAATTAGAAAAAAAAATTGCTTCAACAAAAAGAGCAGTAACAAAAGTGAATCATTAACATACTGTAGGAAATAACACATTTTTCCACAGCTTAACAGCAC